TATCAAGGTTATCCGATTTTCCTGTGGGTGTGGGTCAAATTCCAGGCTGTACACCGAAATTGCTTAGTGACTTACTGATAAGTGTTACGTCCTGTGAGGTGATTTGTGTATCTTAGTAAGATAAGCGAGACAATAAGATAAACAGTTGTAATAGTTTGGCAATTGATCAAGGTCTTACTTTGTTTACCTGGGAGACATTGAGAAACAGTGTTAGTGTGCTGTTGCCATCAGTGTAACAACTGATTCCTGGCATTGCTGTTGACCACAGCGTAGTTTTTGACCCAATCCCTGGGAGCTCCAAGGAATAGTAGGAATAGGGGATATAAAGGAAATATGGTTATTCGATTTCTTGCCAAGAGTTAGCTGAGAAGATTGATGTCACTGTCATGTCTGTACAGTAAATATGAAGCTAGAGCTACCAGCCTTTTCGCTTAGTTTAGCACAAAGACTGGAAACAGGGGAAAAGCTATCCTGGCTCTGTCCAAAAGTAACAAAATCCAAGTAGTGTGTTCAAGTGATCAAGATCGATAACCCCCGTAAAATCATGATGTGTCATTTTTACACTTGTTTTAATATAAACAAACTAAATGTAACATCTGTTTTAGTGATCTTAAGAGAAGCTCGTAGTGGGATTTTGTTACCTTTAGACAGATACAGGCTAGCTATTTCCCACGGTTTCAAGTCTTTGTGCTAAGCTAAGATAACTGTTGCCTGGCAGTTCATGTTTAATTGACTGACAGCAGAGTGGTATTAATCTTCTAGTCTACTGTAACTCTTGGCAAGAAAAAGGTTTCAACTATAGTTTCTTCTAAAAGCTTGGAATGGGAGAGTGAGGTATGGGTATTGCTATCAGCAACTACACTGCCAGATACCATGGACATCACTTTAGCATCAAATGGATAGAAATCTGATCTTAGGACCTATCTCCCCCAGCCCACCCATCTCTTACTAACCAACATGCTTAATCAAGTGTAAATACCCTTCACTAATTAGCAGTTATGACTCAAACATTCATTTGATCAACAGTGTTGCCCAGAGACTGCCATGAAATGCTGATGACATCTTCAGGCCAGGCCAGAGATGGGGTGTACCTGATCCAACCAGGTGACTCGCCTATCGTAGTCTACTGTGCCATGCAGGAGGGAGGCTGGACCGTGGTGCAGCATATCACCGTCAACAGCAGCGTGAATTTCGATCGTACCTGGGTGGAGTACAAGCATGGCTTTGGGGATGTAACTGGAGATCACTGGCTTGGAAATGAACACCTTCATCAGCTCACCCGTGGCCCCGGGCGCTATAAACTGGGAGTTAAACTAGTTGACCGAGACGCCATCACCAAGATGGGGGAGTATGATCCATTCCTGGTGGAGAATGAATCATTAGCATACAGGCTGAGGCTGGGGTTGTTCCAGGGTACAGCTGTAGACGCTCTGACCCTGGACACAGAGAACTACCTGCACGACAACCAAAGATTCACCACTAAAGACAGAGACAATGACAACTACTTCCAAAATTGTGCTAAGCTGGAATTTCAGGGGGTGCCAGGAGGAGGTTGGTGGTACGACGCCTGTGCTGGTGCCAACCTCAATCGCAGGAATGTGATCTACTGGCAAAAGGACTGCAACAAAGAGCGACTGTGCAAGTACGCATGGATGATGGTGAGACCTTCAGACACAGTCAAACTGATTCAAAGTGGAGACTGCAAGAAGGATGAGCTATAAGGACATCATTGTGAGGATTTGTGATGCTGGGTGACAATGGGTTTGGCAGCTATCGAGTGTCAAGAGTTTTTTTTTAGGTTTCTTTTGGCAAACACTACTGCAGGCTACATGAGTGATTCTTTTCTAATAGACACTAAGCTGGACATTAAATTCACCACATTTTATTCAGAAATGCCTGGACATGATCACAAAATACTGAAAACAGCAAAAAAATGAATCACAAACTTGGAACACAGTATAAAAATGCAGTACGGTTTTAGCTCTAGCTTTGTTTCCATCATACACCATTATTAATACATGAAGCAAAGCATCTCCTTCATTCATCAAATTGCAAGTGCAGATTTCTGGTTTATCACAGTTACAAAAAAGTGTTTCATGACATTATAGCTTATGACACATGTAAAATATCGTTTGCACGTCATCTCGCATCCAATGCCTACAGAACATTTCACAAACAGCTATTTTTCCTTTTTTTTTGTTGCCACAGTACATTACAAGTAACCAGAAAATACAATGAAGATAAGATGACATTTTGATTTAGCTACAGTAATTCAGAGAAAACAAACACCGTTTTTTCAAAAAGAAAATATCCTGAGGATAAGGAGTAATAAACAGATTATAATCATCACTGTGTGCTCTTAATTCCTCCACTGTTTTCTCATCATAAACACTGATACTGTTGAGCAAGTTTATCGTGTAGTTTGTACAGGTTATAGGGTAAATCAGTATGTTCCGTTTTTTCTTTTAATAAATGTTTGTGTTTTAATTTATGGAAACCTTACTCTTTATATTCCACTGAGATTTTGCAGGGCAGAAAACGCAGAACATACAATGTGAAAACAATGAAGCTGAATCTATATTCACTCGTCTGACAAATGACATTGGCACATGTGAAAAGGCTTTGATTATCATCAAGTTACAATCTTGACTTAGCAAACAGATTCTGACATCAGGACAACACGTATTAGCCCTTTACAATAACATAGCAATTCTAAAGTGAGCATCCTCAATACAAACACAGTACCTACAGAATAAAACACATCTGTGTATGTTACATATCAGGTGTAAGAGCATCAGCTTTGGGGAGGATACTGGCAATCTTTACTACTTTTAACAGTGTAAATTATTACCTTGTAACCATTTTATTATGTTGTTTTATCATGTTCTAGATATCAAACTGCATCTTGAAAACAATACAGTACAATATGAAATATGTTAATTGATGGCATTACCTGCATAAGAGCATCAATTCTGGGAGAAATTACAGGTATTTCTAATATTTGAGAATCTATTTACAGTGTGACTAATTATATTGGGACAATTTTATAATCTCTCATTTCCAAAGTTTGAGCAGTAATTAACATACACTGAAGTAGACCTACTGATTAATGAGCAACATTGCAAATCGTACTAGCTCCTTGATATAGCATTTTTATTTCCTATATCACCTAATATGTTGAATTCAGGTTCATGACGCCAGGGTTAATAATACAAACATATAATTTACAGCCATCATCATACACCATCTAAAAAAAATAACAGTTCATGTCAGTTTGGAGCTGACCACAGGGTTTTGTCCATACCAGTATAGTTTCTCCTCAATCCTTTTCTTCTTCCACTGACAAAGTAAGAGCATACGGAAGGTCTTTTGGAAAGTCTTGTTACAAAGTGCGTAGCACATGGGATTGACAGTGCTGTTAACGTAGCACAGCCAGTAGCCCAGATGCCAGAGTGAGAGGGGAATGCAGTCTGAGCAGAAGGTGGAAATAAGCACCATGATGTTATAAGGTGTCCATGTTAGGATGAAGGCCAGCAATATGGCACTGAGAGTCTGAGCTGCCTTCCTCTCCTTGATCAGCACCATCCTCTTCCTCTTGGTGATCTGGTTCTTCAGCGTGGCGTCTATGGGCTTAGACGTGGAGGAGGTGGACGGAACGCTCATGGACTCAGCCGAGGAGAACGTTGACGACGCCATTTTTGTGTCTCCATTTTTGCTGTGGTGCTCCACGTTAGCATCTTTGGCCACGGGCTTGAACTTGTAGGACACGCACTTGCTGCTCTTCTGAGAGTTGCTTTTGGGTGGCGTCTGGAAGAAGCTATCCTCATCGTAGCTGCTGAGCTGCTCGCTCTCACTGCCCACCCCACTCTTGATGGTCTCACAAGCCTGGTTCCTGAAGGAGGGCTGGAAACCCCCTGGAGACACAGGTCTGTCCTCATCCTCAGAGGAGGCATAACTGTTAAAGGTGGTCAGCTGACCGGCTTTGGACCATTCGTCATTGGTGGTGGCTGCCGATTTGGCAGCATTGCTTCTGCTGGAGGAGGACCAAGAGGCTTGGTTCCTGTCATGTGAAGCTGACCTTAATTTACAGCTAAAACAGGACCTGATAATGGTTTTCTGGGGCTGGGTGACCCGAGAGTCTGTGGGATAGTTAATACCCTGTAGTTCCGCCAGATCTTTGGTCCTCTTCTCCGTCTCCTTGTAAATCCGACAGTATAGGATTGTCATGACTGATACAGGGATATAAAAGGCAGCAATCGCTGTCCCAAAGGTTATCACAGGCTCAGAGAAAAACTGGATCTGGCATTGCCTCTCAGGGACAGTCCTTTTCCCTACAAAGTACTGCCAGCAGATAATAGGTGGAGCCCACAGAACAAGTGACACCAGCCAGGCTAAACCTATCATGATCCCAGCCCGTTTGGGAGTCCGTTTGGCCCTGTAGGTCAGAGGTCTGGTGATGGAAAAATATCTGTCAAAACTGATCACCAACAGGTTCATGACGGAGGCGTTACTGGCTACATAGTCCACTGCCAACCACAGGTCACAGGCGAGATTCCCTAAGGCCCAGTAGCCCATCAGTATATAAGAGGTATAGAGGTTCATGGAGAAAACACCTATGATAAGGTCAGCAGCTGCCAGACTCAGCAGGTAGTAATTATTCACTGTCTTTAGCTGGCTGTTAACTTTGAAGGAGAGCATCACCAGGACATTCCCCACAATGGTTATGAGGCTGACTATAGCTGACACAGTTGCAATAGTGATCACCTCCCACAGACTGTGAGTGACCAGCTGGATATCCATTGTACTGGTATTTACAGTGGAGTTTAGTATGCTCTCTCCTTCCATGGTCTTCTTGTTGTTATTAGCATCCAAGCATGACAAGAATGTTTAAATTTGTCATTTTCAGGAAGATCTCCTGGAAAGAAAAGAAAGAAAATGTGATTCTTTATCCATTCAAAAACAAGGTCCCATTCATTATCATCAACTATCCACTAGATGTCGACAATTCAGCATGTTGAGCATCAAATATTTACACTTTGCTTGACACCAAGGAGGAGAATATACAAGCTTAATATGTTTTGCTCTTTAAAACCAAAAGTAAAATCTGCCTTTGTCCTCCATAACAGATGATAGCATCCACTTTACTGAATTATATATAAAGTTGGTATTTAAGGGATTGTTTTTTTTATCTGCTACATCTACTGAAAAAATGTCATTAAGCTATTGTCTTCACACAGTTGACACAATTAGCTCTAGCTCATGTAAGTATACCCATATGGAGTGTTTTAGGCAATCTCTGCAAACATCTGTGGCACATTTAAAAAATCCAGGTCATTACATAATTTTGTTTCTTGCTCTAAATCCTTGCTGTTATATTAATAGTGCATCAGTTTGTAGTTCACTAAGATGGGCATTTCTCTGTGACACTATGAAAAAGAACATATGGCAAATCATTTGTAAAAACTGAAATCCAACAAACAAATGATTATGATGATGTTTGTAAAAGCCTTGTCCCAGTGCTTACTAGCTAACACAAAGTACATTAGCAGTCACACACAGCTACAGGCAACTCCCAGCTCACTAACGTGCATGTGTGTGAGAGAAAAATAAATTGCCTGGAGTAAATCAAAGTGGTGGTGGTGAGAAATGTCTTTATTCTTTTATCAATCAAATGTGACAACATACATTTCCTTCAAATTGAATGCAAAAATAGTGGAAGAAGAAATCAAAACATGAAATGACACTTGGATATAAGCATAAAAAACAACTTTGGTGCACTCTAAGGGAGCCAGTACTGTACATTCAGCCATGAAATTTGTTGAAAGTGTATAAAATGACAGATGCAGTATGGTGGATAAACACCATAGATTTCAAACTCACTGCCAGCTAATTTGTCAGCCATGCATCAAATTCCGATTTCTGCAGTGTATACTTAATTTTAAAGAGTGATGGCACTGAAATAATCAAATAAGCAAACATTTTCTGTGTAAATAGCCTCCTAGTCCTGCAATACTTTCTTCTCTACTGCACTTTAGCCTATGGGATCATTCATAGAAACAGAACCATTTTCAGTTAGCCAACCACAGAAGCACTGGTAAAAGCGGTAAGACACCGTATCTGCGTTATAGCTCCCAGTGCATTCTGAGTTCTCATGACAGTCAACACAAACTTTTTAAAGCAACATTATTTTACCTTAAAATAAAAGCTTCAAAATCATTTTGATGCTTCACTGACTTATACTCGGGTGAATGGTGCCTCTGTCATTCACACTCTGATCTGTAACACTTTACAGCCCAAAGTCACACACCACCAACTATGTCTTTTTACTGGATCATCTTTTCTGAAAGAATGTTTTCAAGTTTTGTCCTCTGGCTATTCTGCCTCAACTCTCTGTGATTTATACAGTTTCCTGATGGAGAGAAAGATTTACTTTAGTTTAGTTAGTTGGTTCAGTTTTCCGTTCTGCCTGAAGCACGGAGAGAGTATTGGTGTTTACACCCCTAGCACATTTGATGAGCTTTGACCCAGGGTAAGCCAGAGGGGAATGCTGATGGGGAGCCAGCAGGAAATGGAACTGGAGGTCTGCAGCCTCTGTGGACCTGGCAGAGGCAAAGAGACCCAAATGGACATTGATGGAGGAAGCTAAGAAGAGGAAAAAGATAAAGTTATCAAGTAAGAGACTGCCAGACAAGAATAAATCTCATATTGGCTTTTAGCCGCTGGCAATAGCTTTGCAAAACAAATCAACTGCAAGACAGACGACAAGCTGGTCTTCTTGATGTTAGACTAGTAAGTAATATTAGATGGCTTGTTATCTTGTGTCGTTGCACTTGCTTGATGTTATGTTACATGTGAGAAGGTACAGTACCCACACATAACTACATGCCCTGCACCAGTAGAGGGCAGCAATCACCCTCCACACCCTCCTACACCCTCAGGTCAGAGCAGCGGTGTGCATGCACATTTCATCCCTGGGTGCTGGACGCACTAATCAATAGTGACTGAGGGGTTACCCATGCCAACCTGAATCTGTGCATTCGAAACAATCCCACAGGAAATGTCCATGCCTTGATGCCTCGCCTTTCATGACCTACAAATGCATGACAGTGCCATGTGGTCTTGCTCTTGCCTTGAAGGTGTTTATCAAATATGTTGAAGCAGCATTAAATCCCCTGGGTTTGAGTACATTTGTATATGCGGATGGATGATTGTACTCTGTGGGGACAACCCAGATTTGTACCCATTCAAACTATTCAGGAGCCCATTGGAGCGTGAGGCTAGTCTCTATGTCATACTGTTCCTCTGTTGTCAGTAGAGATAATATGTTCTGCACTCCCTCCTTCCAGCTTTCTAGAGAGGACAGTCCTCGGCCAACTGGACGCTGTGGTTTTGGTGGGTCTTGCCCCTTGCTCTGCTTAAAATTAGGGAATTTCAGTGGCATGTTAATGCCTAGTTTCATCCAGTGTATGACGTTCCAAGATCCGAATGTTCGCATAATCATTACTTTCTTAAAAATGACCCGTACAAAATTAGTGGCATAAACCCTCCATCAGGAAGGCACAGACTGTTTGAGGCTCTCAGTGTGGAGTGACAATGGACTCCGGGGCATATGACTTCCACAGAGAAAATCCTCCATGAGAGTTGAGGCAATTGAACCTTCAGGCCATCAGCCAGGGATGGCAAATGGGTGTGGATGTGACGGCACACATGTGGGCAGAGAATCAGGTTTACACTCCCCCACCTCCCCCGCCCAGTCTGTCTAATCCCTATAAACATTCCCAAAGAGAGGCAAAGCAGTCAACACACTTATTAGCACCATGTTAGGCTCTCAAAAATACACTGATTCAGATCCTAGCTGACCAATCCTGGCCACTCCCATATACAGTACAGACACCTGGAGTGTCTCTCATTGAAGGACCGCATAGGGGACATTGTGGTGAGAATCAGGTTCAGAAAACTGAATGTAATCACAGAAAGATGGATAAACTTTGTATAAGATTGCTGAGATACTAAACAGAGAACATATGGTTACTAAACTCTAGCTCTGTGATCAGGTGATGATGTATTTGGCATGAAATAAAGTTGGCTGATGAAGCTGAATGAACATTTTTAAAGCCCAGACTGCTTAACCTACGATGTTTGTATTCTGCTCCTTTATCCCACAAGATCTCTTTTTTTTCTTGTGATCATCTCTCCTAACTGCTCTCTCTGCTGGAGATCTCCTCGTAAGATGTTTATGCCCACGATGCAACGCTTTGGATGTAATCACTACCCTGGAGTTGAGAAATCATTTCCTAACTCACTGGCATTGCTTTAACAGTGCCAGGTTAGCAGGAGTGCCAGCGTCAGCCGGAGGCCTACACAAATAACATTCCAGTCACTGTGGGGGTCCTCCTGCAGGACTTGGGTTGTCCCTCATCTTGTTATAGAATGGCATTTCATATCACATCAATCAAATCCCCACATCATTATGCTGTTTAGTGTCGGAGGTGCCATGAATCTGTCCACAGATTTTGCTGCTATTTCCTGTTGTGCACAAGCTTAGCAATTTGTCCTTTTGTTCTTATTGTTTACCTTAAGAAACCTTCATAATGAGCTCCTCCTTTTTTACTCTGAGATCTCAAGTCAAGAGTCTGTAACATTTTTTGTCTAGTCTAGTTTATGCTGTAGCTCTAGAAATGACCATATTAGGTTGGTTGGGGGGTCCAGCACTTTGGTGTGGAATTAAATATCTCAACAACTATGAAATTTGGTCCAGATACTCATGTTGACCTTTGGGTCATTATGTAATAGGCCTTCCTGTAAAACTAATGACACCTCCATTAGCATTTTTGCTTTGTGTTTAGCGATAATTAGGACGAGTTAGCATGCTAACACACTAAACTAAGATAGTTAAAGCTTGTTAAAGCTATAGCATAGCATAGCAAAGCTGCTAATGAATATCTTTGTCTGCATGATTTCTCCCAGTAGCAGGGGCGATGTTGTGTGTTTAATGCTACTTAGAAAGGGTTAGCATAATAACATGCTAGACTATCATGGTAAACATCACTCCTACTAAACATCTTAGCAGTGTCTGATCTCAAACAGCCTCACAGAGACACTACCGTAGCTTAGTCTTATTTTCTGTGTAATTTCAATTTTGTAGTGTTTTATGATAATTTTACACTGTTGGGAGACTTTGAAGCCATTGTATTAAGAATTTAACCAAAAAACACAGCTCTTTTCGGAACAAAAATAGGCTGGATGTGATCATGTTTCCAAAAAGAATGAATTAATGATGACAGGTACGGTGTTTGAGAAATGAGGATATTTCTGACTCACTGATGACTATTGCGTTGCTAAGCTTACACGCAGACACATACACACACAAAGAATGGACTTGTTCTACCTCTTGACCTCAGCCGGTAGAACAAGTCAAGCTTGCTAATAGCTTCTAAATCGAAGCAGGAAGCGTTTTTAATGGTACACTCAGAACTCAGAGTGTGGGGTAAACATGGACTGCATCACTATAAATAGTGAATATGGTCTTGTGGCCTGTTTTTAGACTTGGGTGGATGCAGTTTGTGTATCAAATGTGACGCACAGAGGGGAAGAGCATCCTGATGCTGTCTGGTCATACAAAAGCTTTGAAAAATAAAGATACTGCAGAATTTCTGGTAGTATACTTCCTGTGTGACTTGGTCATACGGTATATGGTGAAAAATATCATACCCAGAGGTCATTACTATGAATCAGGGCCAAATACTGGCGCAAAGACATTTTGCTCTCACTCTTGCCAAGAAAACTGAAAACTTCCTCATTACATATACATCCTAAGAGTATCTGACTGCTTCCTGAAATATCGT